AAAAAAATTTTTTTGGTCCAAATGAAGGCCAAATGAAAACAAACTTTAACTTTATGACCTAATTACTCTGAACTTTGTTTTCCAAAATCAGCCCGATTCCAACTACTCAAATGCTCATAACTTCCGAACTATGTGACCTAGGAAGAAGATCTTGGTGTCAAAATAACCAGAATTGAATGGTCTTTCTGATAAAACTACTAACTCATAATGTCCGAATTGAGACCTACGGCATGTTTTGATCTGACAGGCTACATATATGTGTGTGCGTGCGTGCGTGCGTGCGTGCGTGCGTGTGAATATGACCATGTATAAGAGAGTTAAAAACGAGAAATCTTCTAAACTTTGTCAGAACTGAAATTGTAATCTGGCCTAAATACACTGGGCCACTCGTCGGAATAATAATCTTTTCCCACCAATATTTGACGTCGCGATATTTTTATACAATAAAAGGCATTGCATGGCAATTATTTTGTAGTGTCGTACACCTCTATATGACAAAATTAGCCAATTTTTACTATGGATGCATGGTTATTGGGCTCTAGAAAAATAATGCCAGATTATACAAATTTCTAGAGCATAATTTATTGGTCTATGTGAATACATGAACAATGGTATTTCTGAATCATTCAGCAATCAATTCTGGCATCTTATTCGCAAGCAAATTCTGCGGCAAAACCTGCATGTTGCAGTATCACTGGTTTTAGTCGATTATTTTCAACTAACAGACAGATGCCATTCATGTGGCTCTAAGAGTATTTGATTTTAAAAGAAAATCTCGTGAATCACCTAACATCAGTTAGGTTCAGTAACTTCAGTTAGTTAATTAGCCGGTGTTCAAGTGGCAAGCGTTTTCTGGGCGGAATAGTGCGAAGTTTTTAACACTATATTGTCAGCAAGTTGACTCTATTAATTGACTCATAATTGTAGCAGAAATGAAATTAGGAAAAAGTTCCGGTTCTGGCTAGAACCGGAACTCTGAAAAATTGGGGATCCGGCCGGATAGTTCCGGCCGGATCCAAGTTCCGGTGCACTTCCTTTCTTAATAAAAAGAAGAAATTTTGTTTTATTTTGTGAATTAGTACCATTCGACAGCCACGGATGTACATGACAAATTATGTGATATTTCACTGAACAGTTCCTCAGAGATTGGACATTTAGTTTCTGTAATGGACATGACAGAAAACGGACAAGGGTTATCACTGTACTGACGCTCATAGGGTCTATGTCCCCCAGGGTACTGCCGGAACGTACCCTGAGTACGGTCCGGTATACCGAAACGTACCCTGGTAACTATCTGATATGGTTAGGGTTAGGGTTAGGGTTAGGGAGTAGGCGTAGGCGACTCCCTAGACTCGTTAGTGGAGTAGGCGAGGTACGGTCCGGCATATTAGATAGTACCAGGGTACACCGGAACGTATCCAGGGTGCGTTCCGGCAGTACCCTGGGGGACATAGACCCTCTCAGCTGTACTGACACTGTACAGCCTCAGTTATGATGAAAGTTAGTATATGACTTAATATATGCATATTTAGACTTCGATCATTTAAAAGCAATCTACATAAACCTAGGCAATTAATGTTTTTACTCGAGTGAACGTTTTGGTTCAAGGATAGAGAACATGGGTCCCAATAATATCAATGTCATTTACATCAATATAAATATAATATTATATCAATATAATAGGTTAGGGTTATTGTTAGGGTTAGGGTTAGGTATAGAGTTAGGGTTAGGGTTAAAATTAGGGTTAGGGTTAGGGTTAGGCACATTGGTTTTATTGGGACCCATGTTCTCTATCCTTGAGCCAACGTTTTTCGTGGAATTGCCCACACAAAGGTAGTTTCGGTCATGATCTTGCTCTCTAATCATGAACTGAACGAGTATTTTAGCGGTCTACTTAACTAAATTCTAATTATTTATATTTGCGAAACAGTTAAATTAATGTACAATTAAATGGCACCGATACCGACTGTCAATGGCATTGAGCGAAAGAGGGCGAATTGACAACTTGGAGACCAAGTCAGCCGCTCCATTTGAGAAATTTCCATTGATAACATGTATGAAACCAAAACGATGTCTATGTTTACGTTGATTATGAAGCTACTCACCTGTCGCTGCTCACACTGATCACACCCTCTTCCCGAGGAATCATTACTGCAGCATTTATTGTGCTATCACATCCTTCTAGCTTATTAAGAAGATAAGGTTTCTTCCTAACAGTACCAGAATTATAAGAATCGGATTGAATCTCAGCAGCCATATTTCCCTATCACGTGTTCTGAAACGTCACTTTGTTTATCAACAAATGTGCCGTGGATCCAATGTACCGTATTCAGCCAATAGAAAAACGTTTGTTATTGCAAATAAGTTGCTGATAAAAAAACCATTACTACTGCTCAAAATCAAAGGCTATCGATGGTCCGAGTTATCGAAATCATTAATCGTATCCTACGCAATTACTCAATATAAGTTACGAAATTATGTTCTTGCCAAAATGTTGCTAAGAATTTGTTTAGATAGCCCTGTATTTCATTATATATGCGTCTAGCGTGGTGTATAATGTATTGTACACATACATGCACATGTACGTATTCATACGAGTTCGCTCGCACGCACGCATGCACGCACACGCACGCACGCACGCATGCACGCACACGCACGCACGCACGAACACGCACCCACAAGTATATTCCAATGCTTTATTATTATAAAGTACGTACTTAGTTCTCCCACGTTATCTCATTGCGGCTCAAGAAACTGTGTATGAACATGCACAGTGAATGCAGAAATAATACTTGTTACACTTTGCTCTCGTTAGCACACAATTTTTTATTTGTTAATTGAGTTCGATATAACTAAGTATTGTCTCAACTATAAGAACTACCTACAATAAATACTGTTTTTACGTACATTCTTTTATGAAAATATACATAAACAATGTCAGATATTGCGTTATAAATATAAAACCACACACTATTAATATTAATAGTTCTCATAAATATGACATTCGAAATGCTACGTAGCAAAAGCTTCATTAATATTGTTACATATCAATCCTGTGACGCATACAGACTACGTCCCAAAAACTACCATGTAAGAATAATACTGGCCTACTTTTTATTCATAATAAAACTTACTCATATTGTATAAGGCATATATGGCACATCGGGTTAGTCATATAAACAATAAAACTTATGACTTTCCAGTGGCAACATGCGTGTGTCTACCACGTGGACACCAGTCTACATAGTCAATTAACCTCTATGCTATGTATCAAGCTGGATAAACCATAAATAAATTGCTATAATAATGATAATAAGTAGATAACACAATTGCACATGTAATCATAATTAGTCTATATCTCTTCTTCTAGATGTTTTGCACGTCTTGGCAATCTAGTGTGTTTTATTTATATGAGCTATAAGTTTAAAATAGAATAGAAATGGCAACCACTCAGTATGACAACAAAAGAAACCATATTAGTTTTATGGCTGATAATCCTATGACGCACATCACAATGAAAGTTACGCAAAATCATGATCAGGCCTTGTGTTTCCATCTTAAATTTACAGCATTAAACGTAGAAATCATGTTTGCGTCAAATTGTTCAGTATGGTCAACACAGTAGCCATATAGAACGGCACCTAACAGAAACTTACAAAAACAACTGCATACCAAATCAACATTTTGTAACATGATTTAAGTGGAGTAGACACAAATTTTAAAACTAAACCACTCAAAACGTGGACTATTCATTGATAACATTGCCTTTCTATGTTTAGTCCATTTATACATGCTACTATGTGGGATATTAAAAGCACTATAAATGAAACTATCAAACATAGCTTCACTACGTTGGTACGGGAATAAATATGACATACAATGGAGCATTGAAGGTCATTATGCAGCCATGGCTCATTTTCGAGGACTGGTTTTGAATGCCTTGGCTAGTCTGCGTTTAAGCTCTCCAGGGAATCTCTCGTAGCATTTCTTGCATACAGGCTTCAAGTCCAACTCGTAGAATTTGGTCCTGCAAGAACAAATTACGTAATATACAGCAGGAAATGAAAAACACCATAAACAAACCGCATGTATTACGTTATTATACATTGCACACAGTTGTTTACTATATATTTATATAGAGCTGCAGCTCTCTACAGAACTAGATTGTCGTAATGCTACATTATTATTAACTTTGTAAATTATGCATTACTTACTTCGGTCCCATCTTAATGTCACAAAGAGAGCAAGCGAAGTGCTGCACACACCAGCTTTTGTTCAGTGCCTGAAAAACTAAAACATCAAACACAGCAATAAATCAATTAAGCAATCAATCAATCAAACACCAATTATCAATCAATCACGGTTGAACAACTCAATCACACAGATATTATCCCAATCCTTCTATACGCAATACAATGCTAAAAACTTTTTTACAGAATTGCACAACAAATCATCAATCAACAGTCTATCAGAAAACACCACAAGCAATATTTACCATCTCCGGTGACCACTTGATTGCAGACGTAGCACACATTGCCGAACAGTTGGTGGTAGTGTATCTCACAGTAAGCCAAACCTTTCTTCTCGTAATGCCGGCTCCCTAGGAATGGCTTCTCACATTTCGCACACACAAAATGCTGCAAAAAGACATGGAGTAAATCATCATCATTTTCCAATACGCACAATTTGCTCTCGTTAATGGCATGTAAAGGAACTATACTACATTGCATGACCAAGACTATTTCAAACTCTCTACACATATGAAAAGTGGCGCCGTTGTTGGAGCCACTTTATCAAAACACGTACAATGCTTATTGCATCGACACGAAGCGATACCCGATAATCAAATACGAATCGACAGGAAAAGCAACGAGACGTTCCGAATCGGACACAACATGGGATTTCTCGGCCGCAGTGACCTTGACCGCGCTGCCCACGACCTTCGACAACCTCGCCGCTCACTGACCTCGACGTGCCACTGTTTTCCGAGCGCGTTTATGATGCGCGCGTCCTCGATCGGTCGCCGACACGCGCCGCAGATCGGTATGCCCATCTTGTCGTGGCATCGCAGGCAGTAGAGCTCGCCTTCCTTCTCTCTCGCTTCGACGTCCAGCTCCACCCTGAGAGAACCACGAGAGAGCAGCAGTTAACAATGAGTGCAGCGCCAACATCTGCATAGATACAGACAGTGTAGCGCAGCGCCATCACCTGCATATACTGACAGTGTAGCGCAGTGCACCTTAAACTATTTCAGTGTCATTCACCCTCAGGTCCTTATCACAAAATTTCACTCACCCGCGACTAAATTTCCTTGTTTTTGGGGACATCGTTTCAAATTTGATTTGATTGAATCACGTCGCACTATGATAACTAGAAATTCAATGGCTGCCCATTGCTTTGCGTACACGGATCACGACTAAGCATATTTTTAGTTGTGGGCATAATGGTTGCTCACTGACTTTCCCAAATTATGACACGTGTTTATTTTTTAGCACACACACATACGTTTGCGCTGAGCTTACCCGCAGTTCTTGCAGTTAAAGTGGTATGGGTGGTAGGTCTCAGCGTGGAACTTGATATGCCCATCCTCAATGATAGCACTGCAATGACAAACGCCATAACTTTCATTGCAGGCCCGCAATTACCATCAATGCATTTACATAGGTATTAGGTATATAGGTCTAAGGATATAAGAACATAGGTTACGTAGGATATTGCATTTCATTACAGGTGTTGCGACCGAGGCAAATGATCTTTCGTACAAGACATTGCTCAAGAGTAAATTAATTGCACGCGGTAAGACACACACTGTGTTTAGGAAACTTCTACTATCTACTAAATTATTATACTTCACCAGATAATTTTATGGGCGAAGTGACACGAATCGTTGAACATTCCGCAGTCACTCACACGTCTGGCATAGACATTTGCTATTGATACTCACTTTTACCGTAATCTATTTCGCCGTTACTCTTCACAAGAAGAAAATTTTACTCGCGAGGCGATAAGAATCGTTCGAGCACGGAACACTCACTGGCACTTGTGGCACATATTTCCTTGTGCCGGCAGCCTTCCCTCTCTCACACAACACCCCTACATCTACCCCTGACCCACACCCCTACACCTACCCCTGACCCACACCCCTACACCTACCCCGGATCCCTACATCTACCCCTATAACTACCCCTGACCCACACCCCTACATCTACCCCTGACCCACACCACTACATCTACCCCTGACCCACACCCCTACATCTACCCCTGACCCACACCCCTACATCTAAACCTGCTGACGCCACATCCCCTACACTACGCCCTGACCACACCCTACATGCTAACCCGCTGCCCACACCCACCCCTGACCCACACCACTACATCTACCTCTGACCCACATCCCTACATCTACCCCTGACCCACACCCCTACATCATACACCTGACCCACATCTCTACACCTACCCCTGACCCACACCCCCTACATCCTACCGCTGCCCTACATCCCTACACCTACCCTCGCCCCACACCCCTACATCTACCCATCCTCTGACACTCACTGGCACTTGTGGCACACGTATTTGCCCGCGCCGGCGCAGCGCTCTCGCGGTCGTTGCACTCGATGGCAGAGTGCTCGCGCCGCGTTGCGCACGAAGCGCGAGTCGACAGCACGGACGAGCACAGCTCGCACTTGAAGCAGTTCGATGCCAGTTGTTGTTCATCGCCTTGATCACGCCGACCGATGATGAACTCGTCTGCCGACAAACAAACGCGGCGTCAGACGCGACGACGGGCTCCGACGACTACAGAGAGGCTACGAGCGGAAGTCGATTTTTTGTAATGTTTTACGAACGGCGACACGTCAGATACGATGACAGAAATCGATAACTATAAACTAAACTACATGGGGGGGGGTTTAATCAGAAATTGTTGCAGAGTATCGTGGAAAGTTGAATGGCCACCAAAAGCAACAAAAGAAAAGTTTTTAACAATCTATTATGCGGGACAAAGAGGGATACATACACTACATGGGCATGTGGAAAAGCCGCGAAATGAACCAAGCAGTGTAGGCCACGATGGTTTTATTGCTGTGTATATCATCAAATTTTCAGGGGCATTACGTCAAGTAAGGAGGGGCAGCTACGACGCCTGCCCACAGCGATTGGTAGGAATTAAACCTTGCATGGTTAGAGCTATTATATAACAAGAAAGTTCACTGCAATCAATCAAACGAGCGTCTGTGGCATCTTGCCATACTCACTGCATGATCCACAGCACGGTGCGAACAGGACATGAAAGTCATGCTCACAATACTTCCTGCCTTCAAACTGAAATGAAGATTGTGAAATTAATTGAGCCCTTTTGTAATTTTACTCCCCCACACAACAAATAAAATGGTAAAATATTATTCATGAAAGAATATTGGTTTGCAGATCAGTCACAACTAAAATTTCCCGCACACTACACACAATCGCATTATGCCAAAAGGCACAAATGTTAGTGCAATGTGTTTCTCTCCGAATATAGTGGTCTCAAAAAGAATAAATGTACGGTGCTGCCCCCTGTAAGAAAATAATAATGATAAAGTGAACACAAATAACTAAACTGTTTCTATCAGAAGGCAGCACCTTATTTAGCAAGCTGAGACACACAGCATATGTAAATGTAATATATCTGTGAATAACAGGCCATTATGTAATAAATTTATCAACTCACTTCATAGAAAATGCCTTCAGGAAATGGCTGAAACGCACTGGGCACACTCTGCAAAACAACATATTACTTATAACCATGTCATGCATATTCCCAATGCAAAAGAATACTAGTCTATATCAACCCCAATTTGGTTTATTGTTAATCTATATGCATGATTTACAACTACTTTTACCATCAAACTTTGAGTGATAAATTTTAATAAATGTTTATAAATTCGCAAACTCAATTTTCTAATTTACAGGGTTTATTTTTCAACTAAACTGCTTTGGCTTACTCAGTACTAAGGTGGCAAAAAAACCACAAGAATACTTTGAAGAAACATGCACAACTTACAACAAAGCATTTAGTATGCCAGACTTCTCCGCCAGAGTTCACTATTTGGTTCCTTCACTCCAAATCCCTCCTCCGCAGCGCGAGCATGACGCGTGCCAAGTGACACTGGAAGACTGAATAGGAAACAGTCACCAAACATGAATTACGCGTGCTAATGAAAGCATTTAGTGCCAAACTTTACATAAATTTAATATAAATACATAAAATAAATTGTTATAGTGGCAAAATTAAGTTAAGCGTCTATAAGCGATGGTTGAGATTACCTTTTCTGTAAGATTTTCCTCTCACCATGGTCCGCTGAACTTGTAAGTAAACTGTGATGCGATGCCTTGCAAATAAGAAACATTCAATTGTGACATGAAAACAACAAAACTTGTGATTCACTATTTTACTATTAATGGTTCCACCAATTATATGCTTTGTAAATATTAGAGCCTTTCGAATATGGGTGTGGCACGTGATTTTTTCACACACTCGAGTACTCTGTAGTATAAACCTGATCTCACTCACACCACACAGGAACGACACTGTTAGTGTTAGTGTTACTTACATAAACTCATTGTCGCTCTTTTAATTCAATTAGTTGTAGTAAATATTTTGCAAAACTGTACAATTTTTCTGAGAGCATATATTTAGAAAAACATTCTAAAATGGTGTGATCGTTAATCATGTATGACGACATACAGCATTAATTACCACAATGAAATTAGCCAGTCACGTGTTACAAAATTATAGTACAGTAAAACTCGCATAAGTCGACACTTTTGATATATATATATATACAGCGACGACTTGCAGGTAGGAAATTACTGTTGTTTGTATGGGACCTGTCTGAGAGCGCCGACTTACACATAATGATGGGTTGTAAATGATGACTTAGGCGGGGCTATTCAATGGCTTTATTATGAGAGGAAATCGGGACTTTGACTTCCATGTCGAACTTCTGCGAATCGACGAGTTAGACGATGACGAGTCTTATGCGAGTTTTACTTCTAGTTATATCTGACTCTCTGTAGTCAGAGTATGCATAATCAGAAGGGTTAACCTAAACATAAACTTCATTCTAAGACTATATATATCATTAAAAACCAAGGTTCTGAAGTAGGATTGTTTGAAGTCAAAGATTGTTATGAATACTAAGGCACGTTAATGTCTAGCCACAAGTTCCCTTCGTCGCTTAACAGTACGCGCAAATACGGACATATATTTCAGGGCCGTAGCAGAGGAAAGGTGACGGAAATTCTCGAGCGTGTCGCAATGGTCAGAAACAGTCGAAAAACGGGTGAGTAGGCCTAGTGTCGCTTCAACCGCATTTTTTTCGACACTTCCTGTTAACTCACATAATCATGTTTCTCTGTCCGAAATGAACAAACAACACCCTCAAGAGCACCCTCTCGATTTTAAAAGGGCTACCCCCACCATTAAGAAATTACATAGGTCTCAATGGGACCCATGTTCTCTATCCTTGAACCCATACGACAACGACCCCTTCAGCGTTACTGAGCCAGTCAAACAGTTTTTGTAAACATACTCAGAGATCACAGTAGTTAGTAAGTCTAGGAGAGAAAGGCTATAGAAGAGCGACTTATATGTTACCCACATATACACATCAAACGTGTTAACTATATATTTATACATGCAACGCATTGAACTTACTCAAACGAAGCCTGAAAGCGAACAAACTGGGCCTTTTCTTTTACTGGCTCAAAACCAATATGGCAACTTCCAGTAACTACGTCCGCGACTGATGACGTCATCGAGGTCACATAAACAAAACCACATGCTAGACCACATGCAATGCCGCTTGACTCGCTGGCTATGTACACGCGTGTGTGCTCCCCGGATAGTTTTTTGGCAGAAATATAGTATAAACTAATTTACCCGATTTCACGCATATTTTGCCACCAAGAAACTGCTAAAAAATTATTTTTATACATTTTCATTTAGAACTAATACGAAACTTGCATATATGTGACCCTGAACTGCGTTATAAGGACGCCAATTTCCTGCATGTTCTATTTAACAAAAAACGTTTATTATTATTACTTGTATTATATTAGTAGTGTGTTTAGGGCATATATTGAGTATTTAAATAACATTTTAATTTTTTATTAGCCTTTTATGTTACGCTTTATTTTTTAACGTTTTTAACGCGCATATATATACACACGCGCGTTCATGCACGCGCTGTGGGATATCGTGTTTTTCACTTAAGTATACTGATATATTTTTAACCAATAACTGCGCCAAGTACTCAACTCACTCTCTATAACAATGTCCGTATATAGCGTTACTGCATATCTTCGGAAACATAAATATTTATTTAACTAATTTTTTTAATAACTGCATGAGTGACTGTGTCGCTGGTTGGCATAGTGTCCTCCCTATATAACAACATGCACCCACAGCCATGCATATATATATATACATGTGTGCATGTGTGTGTGTGTGCATGTGTGTGTGTGTGTTCGTGTGTGTGTGTGTGTGTGTGTGTGTGTGTGTGTGTGTG